GTACACTGCCACGTTTGGAGTTGCCAAGGGTAGCTACGTGATTTGAAAACTCCGTATGGCGGAACCCAGATGCGCATGCCGTTTACGTAAGACTTTCCGTAGATTGACTACGTTTTTTACTAACGTAATTACGTTATGCGGAACCTCTCTAATATCAGTTTTACTGTTCCATAGAAAATAAAAAAGACCAAGGAACTGCAAGTTTGGAGTCGGATGAAGAGCAAAGAAAAATGGACCAACCGACTCAGTGTCGTGCAATATCATTGCATGAGCTGATTCTTTAGTAACTGGCGGTGTTAGTGAACATTATCGCGTAACTTGTTGTTGATTGGTCCTTTTTTCTTTACTATGAACTACAAGTTACGCGATAATGTCCACTAACACCACTAGTTACTAAACAATCAGCTCATGCAAAAAACAATTTAAAGACACTGACCAACTGTACTGACGTTCTACAACTAACGGGCTAACATTGTTTAGTAACTGGTGGTATTAGTGGACAGTACCGCGTAACTTGTAGTTCCATGGTCCTTTTTATTTTCTTTCAATTAATCCTTGGCTCTCCATCCGAGTCCGTTCCTGTTCTAGTCTTTGTTTTCCACACTTCCAGTGCTTTTCTTGTACATACACAAGCTCTTTGTATTTTTTTATCCCTGTCAGTTTTGTGCCATTTTGTCGCACTATATGTATAATAAGATCTGGTTACGTTGGTGGACAGTTAGTCATAACTCGTAACATTTTTTCCTTCTTCTTTTCACAATTATTTTATTAAGTAGTGGTCGCGACTTCGGCGATGATTTGTAAGAAAGGGTTTGCTCCCCACACCGGAGCTCGCGCTATTCCGCCGACTTTACTTGACACTTGACTGACTCACGACTGCCATCCAGAGCACACGAGAAGTCCATCGAACCTTCGACTAGGCAAACCTGCAAGAAAGCACCACTCCCTGCTCAATACACAGTGTTTCGGGGAATTCACCCCTCATCAGTTGAGCTTGAGTAGGCTGAGGAAGATTGTGCCTGAAGAGCACCACTTATATAGTGCTCTCCAGGCACAAACATCACCAGGGATACAAACTTACAGAGACTCTCCGTTTCCAGCGCGACAAACACCTCGTGAACACCAGATAGCAGCGTGAGTCAGCGTCGCTCCTGGACGGTGAGACAGACGTCGAGGACCCTCGGTCATTCGCAATGCTGTCACCTCCAAACCAACTAGTCGCAAGCCCGCGCTGGGCACAACAGTACGAAGTAGTGGTTGCGACTATATAAGTGGTGCTCTTCAGGCACAATCTTCCTCAGCCTACTGAAGCTCAACTGATGAGGGGTGAATTCCCCGAAACACTGTGCATTGAGCAGGGAGTGGTGCTTTCTTGCAGGTTTGCCGAGTCGAAGGTTCGATGGACTTCTCGTGTGCTCTGGATGGCAGTCGTGAGTCAGTCAAGTGTCAAGTAAAGTCGGCGGAATAGCGCGAGCTCCGGTGTGGGGAGCAAACCCTTTCTTACAAATTATTTTATTATTATCACTATTATTTCTCACGGTGGCCGTTGGCCAATCAGAGAGATGCAATTAATAATGGTGATTATATGAGGCTATGGGGTAACATTAGTTGAAAATATGGTCATACTGATAGTTGAAGAGTTGATCGCTAGGGAGTGTACGGTGTATCGGTTATGTTTGTCTCTATGCCGTCTAACAGATGTTCCATTGGCGGATGAAAGATTCTCAACTGCACCCAAGACGTCATTCCTGGGACAGAATCCCTCGTGAGTATAACATTTATCTCAAGTTGGTTTCATTTCTCATAGTGATGAATGGATGTTAGTGGAAATTCCTTTTAAGAACTCCACTGTACTCTGCAGTACCTATGAAGTGTACATTGTATTCTGTAATCACATCTGTTACTATGGTTAATCACCAGACATTGGAAAGTATGTATTTATGACAATGGTTTTCATCTCTACTTCTGTATGTGTGTGTGTGCCTGTGTGTGTGTGTGCATGTGTGTGTGTGTGTGTGTGTTCTATGTGCGTATATACATGTGGATGTGTGTATTTGTGGGCGCGCTTGCGTTGGTGCGAGAGAGCCTGCGCATCTTAATGTGTGTGTATGATGTTATCTCTATGCGGGTATGCGTGTTTCTGTGTCTATGTATTTGATGTGTTGTTTTGATTTACAGCGTGGGAATGCTACGATCTCACCTCCATGCAATGCGTGTTACGGATAAGCTGATCGTGGACTCTGATCACTACACTCTGGTCCAGGGTGAGTCCGTTTTACTCCACAATCTCTGCTATTTCATATTCATGATGATCACTTGCCTAGACAGAACTTCCTGCGATTTACAACACGTTTTAAGAAATCCTTAAACGACTTTCATGCATAATGTTTGCTTTCTCTCTGTTTGTCTTAACAGAGGCTGAGGTAGCAGCAGAATTGCTCTCATCAACAGTAGCACCAGCAGCACCAGCACCACCAGCAGCAGCACCAGCAGCAGCAGCAGCAGCATCACTGACTGTAGCAGAAAGTAAAGGTTAGAGACAGATAGTGATACTCAACATGATATTATGGTTACGTTTATCAGTCTCAGTAGTTTTTGACCACTTTGTGATGGGTGTGATGTACTCACCTGGCACAGCTTAGTAGTGATGGATGTACACCTTGATTCTAGACGGTGATGGTGTTCATGTACATGAGAAAAACTCAGTCTCCAGCCAGGTCACATTTCTTTATTCATTTTTATTTCTCACCACCCTCTTCACATCCACCTCCGTTCTTCTACTCCACATCCATCTCTGCTTTTCCAAACTCCACTTTCTCTTTTCTGACATACGCATCCACTTACCCTATTACCATCCTTGAATCAACTATGCACCATGCATAAACAGATGATGGTGGTAAGAGAATGAGTGGTTATCACCAGCAGCAGTTTAGGGTGTGCTGTGTGGATAGACATTAACCTCCATTTCTCCCACTGGGTTTAAACTATCATTTCAATGCAAATCCTATGGTGTTTCGTTGGAGTCTTTGCATCATTCTGCTCTGCTGTAAGATCACATGACTCCTTCAACTTGTTTACCTTATTCTGACCATGTTCTACCTAGGTATTTCATGACAAAATGCACTCGTAGAGTACTGAAAATGAACTACACGTATTGTGTGCCTCTGTTTCTGTTTTCTGTTCACAGCTGATCCATTTGAGGACGACTCATTCACCGCACATATCCTACCAAAGTTGTACAAGATATCTTGTGATGTACTGCGGCAAAGCGTTCAGGCACAAGGACTCCTGATTGGTTTTAATACCCTTCGGGAACTAAAGCGTGCTGAACAATATGAAGGTGTAGAGAGTCATCACCTGAAGTTGATTGGATACATCTGTGCTGGAGAGCGAGATGCATACAGAAAGCTGTGTGCAGCAGTGGGAAACCTCAACTTGCAAGATCTGCACAACACCATGCTACGGCTACTGTAGTAGGAACTCTAGTCATGATGTGGTAAGTTTGTTGTGTGGTTTTGTATTTCTCATACATTCACCTCTACATGTATGTTACAGGACCGGAGCAAGCAGATTTTCATTAGTCTGCCCATACCATAGTATTTGGTAATTTGTGTCTGATATAGCGGGTATACATACATGTTACTACTCACCAGTCAACACACTCTGATGGACAAACAGTTGGTCTACCCATGACTTAACCAACCGGACCGCTTCCGCCACCCATGTGTTAGTGTGTGTGTGTGTGTGTGTGTGTACGTGTGTGTGTGTGTGTGTGTGTGTGTGTGTGTGTGTGTGTGTGTGTGTGTGCATGTATGTATGTATGTATGTGTGTATGTGTGTATGTGTGTGTGTGTGTGTGTGGTGTAGACCAAGCTGAATAGTGGCGGTCAATTCTTCAGCCTTGCAAGCTGTTGAATGGTGCAATCCACGCATAAACTGCTATGGCTTCTGCTGTAGCATCGCAATCATCGCCTCTGGCGATGGGCGCCCAATGGCCCAATGGTGTGTGTGTGTGTGTGTGTGTGTGTGTGTGTATGTTTAGGGGGTGGGCAAGATCTTGGCTCATACAGAAGTAAAAAATCAACAATTCTAATTCATGGCGAAAGCAGCGGTGCTATAAATAGATCTCGTACTTGACCGCAGGTCTATCTCCACCTGATCAAATCTTTCCTTGCCAACTTGGCAAGGGATGGCTGACCTCCACACTGCATTACGTTCTACGTCCAATGACTAGCTGGAGCTCAAGTTGCTATGGTTTCTGCTGTGGAATCGCTATCATCGCCTCCGGCGATGGGCGTCAAATGGTCAACAAAATGGTGTGGGTGTGTGTGTGTGTATGTGGCTGTGTGTGTGTGTGGGGGGGGGGGGGGGGGTTGAGGGCGTGGTGTGGGAGGCTGGGCGCTCAACTGTGGGAGCCTGTGTGTTCATGTGTGGGTGTGTTTTTGTATGTTCTTGTGTCTGATTTGTGTGTGTTTGTGTGCATCTGTTGGTGTGCGTGTGTACATCGTGTGTGTGCGTGCGTGCTTGTGAGTGTTTACATGTGTGTGTATGTGTTCATGCGTATATGTGTGTGTGTGTATGTGTCTGTGTGTGTATGTGTATGTGTGTATATGTACATGTACATGCATAATGTCTGTTACATCACTGTTCAGATTGTGCAAGACTGCTCTCTCCCAGCACTCCATGTACATCACTGTTCAGATTGTGCAAGACTGCTCTCTCCCAGCACTCCATGCACATCACTGTTCAGATTGTGCAAGACTGCTTTCTCCCAGCACTCCATGTACATCACTGTTCAGATTGTGCAAGACTGCTTTCTCCCAGCACTCCATGTACATCACTGTTCAGATTGTGCAAGACTGCTCTCTCCCAGCACTCCATGTACATCACTGTTCAGATTGTGCAAGACTGCTTTCTCCCAGCACTCCATGTACATCACTGTTCAGATTGTGCAAGACTGCTTTCTCCCAGCACTCCATGTACATCACTGTTCAGATTGTGCAAGACTGCTTTCTCCCAGCACTCCATGTACATCACTGTTCAGATTGTGCAAGACTGCTGTATCCCAGCACTCCATGTACATCACAACAGTCATACTCACACAGCGGATAGAATTCGTTGCCCGTATCCCGGTATGCTTGTTTGTGTCGTTCTTCCCCTGCCACTGCTCTGCCCTATGCAACGTGTTCTTTTTCCTCATCTACACATGTATCATATTGTATTCTTGAGTTGCTTGCTCACCAGTTGTGGATATGCTCAATGTGTATTCTTTTGAAGGTGACCGTCCTTGAGAATATTTTCTCAAACAGCAGCTCCACCACCTCTGCGCCCCCCCCCCCCCCCCCCACTCCCCATCTTCCCTCCTCTCTCTCTCAATCCCACACGCGCACACGCGAGCATGTGCGCACATACATAATTTGTACTATTGTTTGCTCTGCTTGCCAAGACTGCTGGTATGTTTCCATCGACTGTGTTTTTTGAATATTTTCTCAAACAGCAACTCCCCCACCTCTGCCCCCACCCTCCTCTCTTCCAATCCCACACGCGAGCACGTGCGCGCATACATGTATCTTGTTATATTGTTTGCTGTGCTTGCCAAGACTGCTGGTATGTTTGCTAATACATGTACATGCCTGTACAGGTATACATAACATGTTACTACTCTTGAAAATTCTATTTGGCTTACTCTAGAGCACCTTTCTTTTGTTCTTATTTTTTGCTGCTACATCTGACAGTCATCTGTACATAAATGTCCCTAGTCTTTAAAAATCATTATGGCTTGCCCTAACGCACCTCTCTATTTGCTGTGACAATTGCACAGTATTCTTTTCATTTTTCACTTGACTTTGTTCACATTTTTGCTTCCGCTGAGACTTCTGTTGACCCTGTATTGAACTTGGCAGCTGAACTTTATCTCCTTTCCTTGTTTTTTTTAAATGCCTGAACAGATCATGACTTTTGTCACTTCTCCACTTTGCGTGCTTATTTTGAGAAATTAATGTGATGTAAATCACACACATGTAATTCTAGGCTTGCATTGTTTATAGTCACTGACTCCAGTGTCTGCTCCAGGGCCGAGTCAGCCGGGGCGAAGGACCCGTTTGGTGGTGGGGGGCGGGGGAGGGGTACTTGGACCCGTTTGAAAAAAGAACACTGGGTCACCATGGTCACTTGTGACCTGATTGGGAGATGTCCATGTGCATGTTGAGTAGGTACATCTAATCGCCATAAGTCACGCAGAGTGCTAGTGTCCAGGAACAGAAAATGTGCGACTTATCGCGAGTGTGCGACTTACATGTACATCAGATTCTGTAGCACGTCAAGTACTACAAGTTCAAGTAGATCTACACTGTCTACCTATTCGCAGCTAGCTGAATCCAGAACCACTGCTGCTAGGTCAACAGAGCATGTTTATCCGCTAAAGTAACACTTAGTTCAGGTTAAGATCTCGCGACAATCATGTGTTGTTGCGAGGTCAAAATGCTACATGTACAGTTGCAAGTCACGTGGTTTGGGTAGTCAATTCCCGACGCAGTAGCTAGTACACAACCTTCTAGGTTTCACTCCTAGTAAACCTGTACTTCATCACCTTTGCTTATGTTATTCATTTCGAAAGAAAATGCTATTCACTTTAGTCGATCTTCCTTCCACTTCAGTTCTAGTGGCCATGATTTAGCAGCAGCGGTCAGGTATGGATGATGGCGGACGTAGTTATGATGGTGACGAGTCATATGAAATGGTTGAAAATGTGTCTGAGTCCCGTTGGATGAAAGTGAACAAGAAAATTTGCAGAAATGGTCAGGAGCTTGAATATCGCGTACAGGATTATTTGAGCGGACCTCAGAGCCAATGCAAACCAGGACAAGACTGACTCAAGGAAAAAAACATTATAAGAAGGTTTTGCATTATCAGCCCTGCCGCTAGAGTTACGGAGTTCCCTCAATAGTTTCCGACCATCTTTACTGGAAAGTTGTTTTGTGAAGTGTGCCACCTTGTAGTGATGCCAAAAAGAGCATGAAGTCATAATGCTTCGGAACGACATCGCCGCAGCGAGCAGCAGAAGGAGAAGGCTAAATCCATCAATCGACTTGATCCGTCTCATGGAAGCAGTACCAGGATAGGGACAGTGAGCAGATAGACGACACAACGTCTGGATAGTGTTCAACGCCGCGCACTGCGGATCATTGGCCCTAGTGCAATTCTCCCCAGTCTGGCTGTCTGCTGGACTGTTGCTGCTCTTTCCGGTCTCGTGCATGTACAATTTGCATTTCATCACTAGTCCTCCTCAGCTACTTGCTGTATTGCCACCGCGCCGTGTTTCTCCAGCCAACACCAGAACCAGGAACGAGCACAATAAGGCCACTAGCCACGCCTTTCAACTGTCAGACACGCTCCCTGTCTCAGCTCCATCCGTCGTGAAGCGGTCGTTCCCGTACTGCTGTATTGGCGCATGGAACTCCCTTCCTGACAGGCTGCTGTCGCAGCGCCCGCACAAAACACGTTTTCAGTCATTCAAGACAAAGGTCTACCCACACCTGAGAGACAGCAACTGGTGCTGGGCCGAAGTAATTCCCTGTAATTTTCGAGCTCGTCCCTTGTCAGACCCGCTAACCCGCGTACCCGGCCTTGCTCAGACTGTCAGACTGTCAGAGTGCTCAGCTGTGTGTTGCATACATGTACAATACATGATTGTATGCTGCTTTTCGAGCGGACTCTGAAGTACCAGCCATGGCCTATTGCATAATGATATAATGTTATGTTAACAAGTTGAGAAGATTGAGCGCGTGCCGTTATCACCTGACCTTGTTATCACTTTCGTCGTTTTTGTCACTTAGGGTATGGCACGTTTCTATGCAGAATGTGCGCAATTGCGCCAATTTAGCCCTATAAAGATCAGTCTATTCATACTTTTCTTTCATTCAACATCATATGCCTCCAGTGATGAGCTCAGGAGGAGCGAAACGGCTGTCTGGAGGGTCATTGTCAATATCAATCTATATACCGGAATTGTCCTCGCTGTGGTGATGGTGATGTGAGTGCAGAGTTTGGATCGGCCATGATCTCCCGTGGTCGGACACTGATTACTTGGTAGCGTGTCCCGAGGTATGTAGAGTAAAAATTGAAGTATCTCTTGAGGTAAGATGTTGACAACATTGGGATGTGTGGCCGAGTGGTCAAGTTCGTGATTCAAAGGATTGGTAATGGAAAAGTGCAGGTGAGTTCGAGTCTGGCTACGTGTAACTTTTTTCTTCACCTCGCACAACATCTACAGCACTCTCATGTACATGTACATTGCAGTGACACGTTACATGGTGATCATAGTCATAGAATGAATTACAACATGATGCATAATGACATCACTATGACGTCAGGGTGGAGGTTATGATGTCACTAGACTGACTCACGACAGGACTCGATCGAGTGCAATGACTATGTAGAACTGAAATGATGACCAGCGTGCAGCAGGGACTGTGAATGGTGATGTCACGTGGTGTGTGTACCTGGAATTCTACTTCATAGTCCATGTTGGTATTTCTATGTTTACAGCCTTGCATGCATGTCTAGTGATATGTCTCAGCAGAAACTTTAAAGGAATGTGACAGCCATTACACAAACATGCCTACAGCAAAACATCTACAAGAAGGCACAATAAGAACTCGAAGAAGAAATACAGAGCACTGGTCTTCTTTTTGAATTTTTCACGAGATTTTTGTACATAGATTCTCTCAAGAAGCTGAGTCGATCCCCACCCACCATCCTATCGATACTTTTCTTTTATAGTCCTTTCTGGAGAGTGGTGGCAACTTCACACCTGTGCAAGCGATGAAATGCAGAACATGTTCATCGCATGTATGTACATGACAGATTTGCACCTATCAGAAACGTCTGCTCTTCTGTTATCACATGCAAACACAAACACACACACACACACACACACACACACACACACACACACACACACACACATGCACACTCGAAGACTCAGACTCAGACATGCCCATCGCTGAAGCGATACTAGCGAACAAATGTGTCAGACATACAACTTGTGCTGGGATAACACCAGTCAACAGCTTGCAAGGCTGATGAACTTAGTTCACCACGCACGCACACACACACACACGTACGCGCGTGCGCGCACGCACACACACACACACACAAGACCAGTGAATATTTATGCATACTGGAACATTAATGAAAACTTTAAACGAATTGTTCTCGATAAAGAAGGGAATTATGTGTATTCCTCAAGAATTGCTCAAGGATCACTGAAGTCGCTACAACCTCTTCTTCACAAGCTTATAAAATAGCTCGGATGGTGAGCCAATTTAATTATGGTGAAAAACAAGTCATAACTCGTAAAATTTTATAAAATAGCAGTTCAAAAAATGTCCCAGAAGTAGAGTGGTCGGTTTAGCTGATTAAAAGGTTGAATGAAGGTCTTAGAACAGAGCTGGATACAACATTGCAAGACATTGCTTCAGGGTTTATTTATGCAAGTGTGGATAATGAAGTCACAACCAAGGGTCAAATACCGTTGCACTACACTTTGGAGTAATTCATGTTGTACCGTAATGTGTACAGTATCTGTTCATGTAGTATACTGCATCTACGTCTTGAAAATGAAGGAAACACCAACGTGGTGGATGGATGCATTCCGACGCATAGATGAAGTCATTGCTGGCAGAACAGGTCGATGGTTGATAGTGAGCTGTCAGGATTCGTGGCAGCGTTGTAGCACCAGGATTTTAGGTGGGCTGACCAAATGGTATACACGACCAGAAACGAACACCGTCAATGAAGATTCCCATTGTGCACGTATTCGGTGTGTCGGCGTTGTCGAAATGAGCCGGACCGGGTGGGTGTGCTACGGTCATGGGTGGTGACGATGGCTGATACTGAACTGCAGGTAGAAATTATTCATGTCTTGTATTCCGTGATTCAGATCTTCACCAGTCTAAACTGTAAGTGACACAAGAAAGAACCCGACACAGACCAGGCACAGTATAATAAGTTTCTACAACACACCAATATCCAATGGTTTTCAGGGTAAGATGTAAACGGGAAAAGTCTGAAGAAAACTTAGACCGTCACCACCAGGAGTTGAACCAGGGACCTTCGCTGGAGGACAGCGATGCTCTAAGCACTGAGTTATGGTGTAGCTGTCATTCAAGCAGAGACTGTCCAACATGTTCTTCAGACTTGCACACGAATAGTTCAGTTATAGTGTAAACGGAAGAGGACCCTACAAGGCTTCGTCTAATGATTACATGTACATGCAAACATGGGGATAGTTCCTGTCAACCTGACCAAGCTAGCCAATTGATTTCTACATTTTCTCAATTCAATGAGATGTGATGGTCTGCCGGAATGCATAGCAAGTTTCTTGATGTATTACACTGTGATCATAGTGGGTCATGGGTTACTGATCTCTCTTTTTGATTGGTTGAGCCATGGTTACTGATCTCTCTTTTTGATTGGTTGAGCCATGGTTACTGATCTCTCTTTTTCATTGGTTAAGCCATGGTTACTGATCTCTCTTTTTCATTGGTTGAGCCATGGTTACTGATCTCTCTTTTTCATTGGTTGAGCCATGGTTATTGATCTCTCTTTTTCATTGGTTAAGCCATGGTTACTGATCTCTCCTTTTCATTGGTTAAGCCATGGCTACTGATCTCTCTTTTTCATTGGTTGAGCCATGGTTACTGATCTCTCTTTTTCATTGGTTAAGCCATGGCTACTGATCTCTCTTTTTCATAGGTTGAGCCATGGTTACTGATCTCTCTTTTTCATTGGTTGAGCCACGGCTACTGATCTCTCTTTTTGATTGGTTGAGCCATGGCTGTATCAAGCCAAGACTGCAGGTGCGGCGGAAGGTGTTGCAAGTCGGTCCGGCCAGTACTGAAAATAAACTATACGTATTGTGTGCCTCTGTTTCTGTTTTCTGTTTACAGCTGATCCATTTGAGGATGACTCATTCACCGCACATATCCTACCAAAGTTGTATAAGATATCTTGTGATGCAC